GGGAGGGAAAAACAGGGAGGGAGGGAGGGAGCAAGCGACAGGGAGGAAGGGAAGGAGTGACAGGGAGGGAGCGAGCGACAGGGAGGGAGGGAGCGAGCGACAGGGAGGGATGGAGAGAGCGAGCGACAGGGAGGAAGGGAGGGAGAGAAAGAGAGAGAGCGAGCGACAGGGAGGGAGGTAGGGAGAGAGAGAGAGCGACAGGGGCAGGGCTGGGGTATAGGGGGACGGAGGCCAGGGAGCCAGATACAGGGCAGGGGGACAGGGGGACGGGGACAGGGAGCGAGAGGATTACAGAGATAAGTGAGGGACTCGAAGGGAGAGAGGAGGACAAGGAAGAGGGGGCAGAGAGAGAGAGGGAGAAAGCGGGTCAGAGATAAGGAGGTAGAGGCAAGGAAACAGAAGCAGATTGAGAGGTGAGAGCAAGGGGGGAGGAGAGAGACAAAGGGTACAGAGCGGGATGGGGAGAGAGATAGAGAGGGGGAGGGGGACGGAGAGAGGGAAAGAGTGTGATAGGGGATGAGGGAGAGGTAGGGTCAGAGGGAAAAATAAAGAGTGGGAGATGGGGTTCACACAGGTAGATGGTGAGAGAAGGGGGTGCGGACATTCGAGGAGGAGGGAGAGAGAGACAGGACTCAGGGAGAGAGGGAGGGAGTGGTTTGGAGAGGGTGGGTGGAAAGAGAGAAGGAAGGGAATAGAGAGAGGGATGGGGAGCACGGAGAAATGTGGGTCAGAGAGGGAGAGAGCGAGTGAGGAGGGACAGGAGAGAGAGAAAGAGACAGAGATATACCAGAGGTGAACGCAAGGACAGAGTGACTTAAACCCAACTCCTGAGCTCAGTCCCAAAATCCTCCCATTCCCTTGGGGCTGAGTCTGTCTCTCTCCAGCTGAGCTTCTTCAACACAAAGACAAACAACAATATAGTTTGCTGTGCTGCTTGGCACTTTTTAATGAACGTTAATAACATATTGAAGTTATGGATGCAGTCAGTGGAATGGTGCCTTTTCTCTTTGGCCTGTGAGTTGAGAGAAACATTGAAATGTTTCCCTGTCACTCCCTGTGGGATAAGGTTGGATAAAGCAGCACGACTCTCAGTCTGTTACCATAGCGACAGGCTGCTTCATTGCTGAAACATTGAACTGAAATGAGAAAATCCTGGATGGATTGATTAATGAGTGAATTTGATTGATTGATGAATTTGGGTAAAGGGATATTTCAGCACATTCTTCAGCTGCTGCCTGAACTTAGTCTGGGTCACGGCATAAATCGCGGTGTTTGTGCAGCAACTGAGCAGCTGCAGCATGAAGCCCAATTCCTGCACAAAGTGATCTAGGTACACAGACCGATATCCAAAATCATACATTCGGCCCCATATAGAATACACCATTAATGCTGACCATAACAGGATGAAATTGGCCGAGATCACAAACAGTAAAATGATGGATTTTTTTCGATTTCTCACTTCTGTGTCACACTGACCGTCCCCATTGGTGTGAGCCCGGAGTCTCCTGCGGGCTCTGCTGGTCACTAAAATGTGTCTGACGGTGAAAACATTGAGCAGCAGAATCAGGAGAAATGGGAGAGCCGGGGTTAGAATGTGGTGGAGGAACTCGATTGTGACCCAGACACGAGAGGAATAAACATCCATTGTTACATCACAAAACCAGGGGATGTTCTCAAGCCGATAGCGAGCTGTGAGCATAAAATACCAGAAAATGTTCTTTAAACAGCTCAGCACAGTCACTGTTCCCAGAGCCACAGCCGTCGTTTTTTCACTGCAATATTTACTTTTCAGCTTCTGGCAACAAATGGCCACAAATCGATCAAAGGTGAAAGTGACAGTGAACCAGACACAACAGTCAGTGGCTGCATAAAGCAGGACGGCGTGGATATTACACATGGGAATGGAATACAGGAAATAAAACTGTTCCCAATAAACAATGGGAATGTGTCTCAATATCAAGTCGAGGATAATGACCAGTAGATCCGCCACGACCATGGCCCCCAGGTAACGTCTGACACATGGAGACAATCCACAATCTTTATAAAGCAGGATGTAGATTGTCACTACGTTAACTGTGAGGAAGGAAAACAAACAAATTATACATCAGCCTGGAGGCAAAGTTACCAGTTTGATTGAGGACCCAGTGACATTTTCAAATGTATCACTGATTTATTGAAAAAAAATGAAGCTGAAATAACAAATAGTAATGTCTCAATTTTTTTTTACAAAAAACGTAAAGTAAAACACAAGAAACTCTCCCTCCCTAAAGACACAAACGCACATCCATGAGAATAGATAGTTTCTGGAACATTCCCACACACTCGAGAGCGGCCACAGGTCACTTATTTACAGTTCCTAATACGGAGGGTGATGATGTTGCCGTCCTGAAGGATTCTCTCCCAGTTCTTTGAAGACAAAAAGAGTTTAGACATTTCTGTCTTTTAGTCTAAATTGTGGTCAATTTTCGGTTGTGAAGAAACATGAACACAGGGAAAATGTATTCACCCCTTTAACTGCCTGAGGGGATTTTGAAACAGTGTCTCCTTCTCCCTGGAACGGGATCTTTTCCCTTGGGATCTTATCTTTTATTCAATTAACTGACACCCAACCATTCACAAATAATGTCATTTCCAAAATGTTCCGGGGAATGTCAGTTACAGAATGTTCCGGAGAATGTCGGTTCCAGAATGTTCCGGAGAATGTCGGTTCCAGAATGTTCCGGAGAATGTCGGTTACATAATGTTCCGGAGAATGTCGGTTACATAATGTTCCGAGGAATGTCGGTTATAGAATGTGATGGAGTCATAAAGATCCACATCACAAAGGCTCTTCTGTCCATCAGTTTTGGTGAGACCCACTCAGCCTCGCAGTGGAAATCTCCCCCCAAAGTCAACTCAATTGGCAAACACAAATTAAAGGCATTGCCAGATCAGCTGAAGTGGTCAGTTATCTCACATTCTCAATCCACCTCACAGAACCAGCCCAGTCACCACAAACCCAGATGAAATATCTGTTCAGCATGGAGCACTGTGCAGACCAGGCTAGTGTACTGCTCAATACAACCTGGCAATCTGTCCAGAGTGGGACACTGTGCAGGCGTCACCAGTCAAATAGATATCAGTCCAGCACGGGGAGCTGTGCAGACCACACTAATGCCTTGATCTATAAACCCGGACTAGATGCCTGTCCAGTGTGGAGAACTGTGCAGACCACACCAGTGCATTGATCTATAAACTCAGACCAGGTACCTCTCCAACACGGGGGTCTGTGAAGTGAACACCACTGAACTGATCTGTAAACCCGGAGCAGTTACCCTCCCAGTGTGTAGATCTGTACAGACCACCCCAGTGCAGTGCTCAGTAACGCTGTGTTAAATCATTGCCCAGCCTGCGGAAACTTGCAGCCCATGCTGGAAGTGACAGGATGTGGGGGTCCCATCCATTTACAGCTCCATATCTCCAATGTGCCATGACAAGGGGTGCCATGGGTGTGAAAATCACTGCCAGAGAGAGATAGTGGGGCATCAGTTTATTTACCAACAAATGGGATGTGTTGGGTATATAAAAAGAGAGGGCGAGATTGAGATACAATGTCATGGAAGGATGCTTTCACAAGTTTTAGAATGCTGACATGTAGACATTTTGATAGCATCTTGCAGCATGGGTCAGTTTTTCAGGAATGATGCGTGAATAGGATATTGCTGTGAGTTCAGATGATGGAGAGTTTTGAATGAGCATTTGCTCTGCATTTGTGACTGAGAGTGTGGTGAGCACAGTCTTTGGCTCATTGGGCTGAATCTAACAATAATTTGTCTCAGTGACGTTTTAGTTGAGTGTGACGGAGAGATAGTCTGCAGGAGGCTGAGCTAGTTTTCTGATGCTATCTTATTAAACTCCCCTCATTATCTACCTACCCCAGCACATGCCATTCCTCTCATTCAGTGCCAGCCTGATTCTCCCACCCATCATGGCTGGTAATAGTTCCTATCACCTGGATGGCCCAGGTATTCCATGATCCCTGGTGCAGGTGCCATCTTTAAAAGGCCAATGGGCACACAGTTGAACTTTCTCAGTTCAGAGCCGCCCTGCATGGTTTACCCCAAGTCTGGCACATAAGGTGCAATTGCACCAAGATTTGTCGAAAGGGGCATGGAGATCCTGGTGGATGGGCTAGTACAGAGAAGGACCATTCTCTTCCCAGAGGAGTCCACACCACTAGACCCATCAAGCATGGTCTGACCTCACCATCCAGCTCAGTGCAGTATCTGCAGTCTGAAGAAATGTCCGGCAATACAGGACATGCGTCAGTAACCTTCCCGGCTCTGCCAGGTTAAGTGTCACCGTATTCTCTCTGCTCCCTCTCTCTCTTTCTGTCTCCATTTCTCTTGTGCCTCCGCTACTCCCCTACACTGTAAACACTGCATGGATTCAACACTGTTGACTGTCTCACTCAAGCCACCTCACCATTTCCCCCCACCCCCGCCTACACCATCACTAACAGCAGGACCAACCACTTTGACCCTCACTCCCTCCCTCCCTTTCTCTCATTCCAGGAGAAACAGCCTGGAATAGGACAGAAAGTGCCAAGCTGGGTGTTGGAGTGTCCGACATCAGTTCTGTCCTCCCTTGCCCCTACCAGGAGGAGAGGAGCCTGGTATGAGCCGGAGAGAACCGGGACAACCCGTGTGGATATCCTGAAACATCCCCGCCCCACCAACCGAGTCAGGAGCAAGTTTAGTGAAGGGTAATTCTCACTTTAAACCCACTGTCAGTTCCATTTCCTCCTGGCACAGCTTAGAAGCCGTGGCCCTAATGCCATCTCCTGTTTATATTGAGTCGGTATGAATGGGCTCCCACGATCTCCCATGGTAAATCAGTAATATTAACCAGAATTTAAGAAATCCAAAGTTAGCTGAAAGCTGGCACTTAAAATGTGACCAAAATCTGCTCATGGTTTGGTCTTATGTACTGGGTAGTGTCCATGCCACTGAGGCAGATAGCTGGATTTGATTCCCACCCCTGAACCTGTGGTAATGTCTCCAGCTCTGGAACAGACTTTCTGGATTCAAGTCCTGCCTGTTTCAGAAGTGTGCCACAGCATGTCAGAACAGGTTAATGAGCAACACACTGGACAATAATGCTGCAGGTTCAGGGGCTGTCGCAGTATGGTGGTACTGTCTCTACTTTTGGGCCCAAAGGTCTAGATTCAAATCCCAAAAAGGAGTTTCATAATATATCTGAACAAGTTGATTAAAATTATTTTAGAATTGTGACTTGATCGAGGAGGAAGAGGTATCAATTTTGAATTTCAGGATTTAGGCCTGGGATGACAGAAAGCATAGCCATTCATGTTGATTGGAGTAAAATTTGCACCTTATAGATACTTGTAAAATCATGAAGGCATGGCCAGGGTGAATAGTCAAGATCTTTTTCCCAGAGTAGGGGAGTCCAAAATGAGCAGGTTTAAGGAGAGAGGGGATAAACTTAAAAAGGACCTAAGAGACAACCTTTTCACGCAGAGGATAATGCATGCATGGAGCAAAGTACCAGAGGAAGTTGTGGAGGCTGGTAAAAACAACATTTAAAAGGCATCGGGATGGGTATATGAACAGGAAGGGTTTACAGGGATGTGGGCCAAATGCTGGCAAATGGGACTAGATTAATTTTGGATATCTGGTTGGCATGGACAAGTTGGACTGAATGGCTTGTTCCTATTCTGTACATCTTTTTGATTCACTCATCCAATTGATCCAGATCTCTTTGTAATCTTAGATAACCTTCTTCTCTGTCCAATGTAAAACCAATCTTGGTGTCATCCGCAAACTTGCTGGTTGTGCCTTCTACAATTCACACCTAAATCATTTTCATATATGACAAACAAATGTACATTCAGCACCGATCTCTGTGGATCACCGCTGGTCATAAGCTTCCAGTCTGAGAAACGACCATACATGATCACTCTGTCTCCTACATTAAGCAGAAATACACAGAAACACACACACCGGCATATAGGGACACAGACACAGTTGTGATAAGTTTTGATTAATAAGGGGATCAAGGGATCATTGAGAAGACAGTAGAATTGTGTTGAGAAACATGTCAGGCATGATCGAGCTGCTCCAATTTCTTATGCTGTATAGTCTTAAGGTATCAGGAATATTTTCCCATGAGAGCAGTGGAGGCTGAGATTGATAAATACTTTACTGAACAGAGTCAATGGGAATGTGGGATAGGTTTGTGGGGCTGAATGGTCACATCTGCTCCTATTTGTTGTGCACTTTAAAGAGGAGGTGACTTGCTGTGAGGTTAACACACTTTAAGGAGTCTCCTAATTAAGATTGAGATAAGGATTTTGCTTTCTCTATAATATTGTGCTGACTGTAGTGTTGTCATCCCCAGGGAACATGGAAGACTCGGTTATTAAAGATTTTTAATGCTGACCTCAACTGACCTTTGATGATCAGCAGAGTCAATATTTATTGGGAATAAACAGGAATGGGGTGTTCAGCCATAAACAGATCAGCCATGATCTTTCTAAATTGAGCAACATGCTCGGGGTCCAAATGGCCAACTGCAGGTCCTTTCTGATGTGTTGTTATCACACTCCACCCCTCGAGGATGTTACAGAGGGAAAGGAAGACCCATTCAGCCAATCAGGATCACGACAGATAGAAGGAGACCATTCTGCCTCTCGAAGGAGTTACATAGGAATCGAATGAAATATTCAGTCATAGAATCATAGAGATATACAGGATGGAAACAGACCATTTGGTCCAACTCATCCATGCTATTCAGATATCCTGAATAAATCTAGCCCCATTTCCCAGCACTTGGTCCATACCCCTCTCAACCCTCCCTATTCATGTACCCATCCAGATGCCTTTTAAATGTTGTAACTGTATCAGCCTCCACCACTTCCTCTGGCAGCTCATTGCACACACGCACCACCCTCTGCATGAAAATGTTGCCCTTTAGGTCACTTTAAAATCTTTTCCCTCCCATCTTAACCTGTGCCCTCTCGTTTTGGACTCCCCACCCCGGGAATAAGACCTTGACATTTTACCCTGATTTGCCATAATTTTATAAACCTCTACAAGGTCACCCCTCAATGACAATTATTTATTTTATTGTGCAACGACTGCAGGAATTTTTCCACACAGCACCCACAGCCAAAAATGAAATTAATCATTAAGATTATCTGTATTTGTGGTGTTGATAAAGGGACAAATGTTAACCAGGCCAATAGGAAACTTCCCCTCCTCCTCAATACGTGTCCGGGGAAAATTGAGCACCGCATTGAGAGGGCAGACAAGATTTGTTGCTGCTTCTGAAAGACAGCATTTTTGACCATGCAGCATTCTACTCAAGTGTTAGTCCATATTCTGTGCTTGTCTTTCAATCTCTCAAGAATCAGTATCATTGACAGTACAACTGCTACCTGATTATCTGGCAACAAATGACCCTAATAGTGTATTGCTGAGCTCAGAAACCCCTTGACAACCAGCTACACACCACAGGAGGAGGCCATGCAACCTTTCTAGGCTGTTACACAGGAACAGGGAGCCCTGGTTCGCTAAAATTAAACACAGAGTAGAAATAACTACTTATTTTTAGGTTGGAAGCTGTACCTAGTGGAATAGCTCAGGGACCAGTGTGAGGTCATCAACAATTTAAAATCTAGATTTACGATTTTAGAGGGAGTGGTGAGAGCACGAGACAGGGGGCAGCCTGGAAGGCAATCTTCTGCTTTTAAAAACTTACCTCGTGAGTCAGCGGCCTACTTGATTCGAGCGGCAGGAGTGCTGAGAGCACGAGCCGGGAAGTGAACAATTATATTCGGGCAATGTCCTATAACAATGGTTCAGATAAATGCAACAAAATGTATTCTAACTAAATCTATCAATGATGCTAAGATAAGCAGGAAATTAAGCTATCAGGAGGAGGTGGAGAGAATGTAAATGGATAAGCAACAGACAATGTGGCAAATGAAATACAATGTTGGTAACTGTGAACCTGTGAGATTTTCAGTCAGAACAAAAGGCTATATATCACATAAATGGAGGGAGATTATGGGACTTAGTGAGAGAGTGTGCTCTGGAGGGTTCACTCTGAAACTTTCAGACATTGGAAGTGTTGCTCTGTCATCCTGGTGGTCTACTCCCTGATGTTCCAAGTTGCCTTATTACTCTCAGTACACGCAAGATATTTTGATGTGGTTGGTTGGCGGTGGGGAGTGGTGAGGGGGAGGGTCTTTTGGATCTCTTTCAGAAATGCATACTGATTCTCTCCAATGTTGCTTTTAATTTCTAAAGAACCAATATCACATCTTGCATCATAGATTCCAACAGTTTCCTTACTGATATCAAGATAATTGGACTGCAGTTCTCCAGACTACCCCTTCTTCCCTTTGTAAATGGTTGGATAACGTTTACTACCTTCCAGTTATCTGCAATGGCTTCCACCCTTTGTAGAATGTACAGGAAAATAAAACACAGTCATCAACAGTGCAATTAATCAATCTATTGCTGCTTTCTTTTCCTGATATTTTGACATGAAGTATATCTCGTCCATCATATTTAGCAATGCTCAATCCAGGTGCATTTCCAAATACTACCTTGTCATTGATATGAATTGACTTTACGTCATTAGTTCCAAAAGTGCCATAATAGCACTTCGTGTTTCTGGGAGATTTTCTGGATCTTCCTTGATGAAGACAGGTGCAAAGTCACTGGTTAGTTTATCCGCTATTTCCCTGTTCTCCACAATAAATTCTCCTGTCCCCATTGCTAATCTTCCACATTTAACCTTGCTTTTATATTGTTTTCTTTGAAGAATAGATTGTAAATTTAGGCAGACTTTGTGTTTCCTGTTCTTTTGTATTCAAGTTCTCTTTTTGATTCCCTTAACAGTTTCGTGGTTCTCCTTTTCTGGGTCATAAATTTCTCAGAATTCTCAGGTTTCCACAATATCTGGAATTCCTCTAAAACCACATCCTTTGATTTAATACAATCTTTAATTTCTTATGTTAACCATCTTTGAGTCAACTTCCCTTTCTTGACTGTTTGTACCTGAGAGAAATATATGTATTTTTCAGACTTTGCAGTATTTCTAGAAATAACAACCATTGCCTGTCTGCCACAAATTTTATATTGTACTTTCCCAGTTCATTACAGCTAACTTGACAATCTTGCCTCATGGATTCCATGATGTTTGACAGTAACATTTGAAAATTTGACATTTTTGCAGACGCCATGTAATATGCAATATATTGCTGTCACTATTTCTCAAAAGCTGCTTCGGAGCAAAGTTATTAATTAGCTCTTCTGACCACACAACACCAAAGTCAAAATTATCTGGTCTCTGGTTTGGTTTGCAACAAAGTCTTCAACCTACCTCATATACACGCATGGATTTTATTTTTCATAGCGTTAGCAGTCACTTAGTTAACGTAGTTTAGATGCAACTTGAGGTCATCCATTATTACTGCAGATTCCACAATACTTGCATATCTAATTTTCAAAGCATAAGATGCACAGAATTTGTGCTACAGTTTTGATTTAGATATATAACATGCTAATATTTGCTTCTTCTTGCTATTTGTAAGCTCCACCCAAACTGATTCAGTGGAAACTGAGCGACATGGCCTGTGGCGTTATTCGTGATGGACTTGGACAAGACATTCGGTGAGGCTCACCTTGACGCTGAAGGAACATCCAGAAATATAGGACTAGTATCAGTAACCATTCCATTGCTGCCAGTATAAGTGCTACTGTATTCTTTCTGCTCCTTCACACTCATTCTATATCTGTTATAGCACCTAACTCCAAACAAGGTTCACACTCTATCACCAAGTAAGGCTCAAACTCTTGCCACTCCCACTACTGAATGCAATACCTTCTTTGCCTCACACTCTCTGTCACCTCGGCAATATCCCTGCAAAAAATAACACTGCATGGAGTCAACACCGTGGACTGACTCACTCTGGACACCTCATCATTTTGCCCAACCTATACCAGCTCTTACAACAGGACCATTCTTTCACCCTCAATCACTGCCATCCCTTCCCTCATGCGAGGAGAAACAGCCTGTAATAGGACAGAAAGAGCCAAGCCGTATGGTACAGTGCCCAACATCCGTTCCTTCATCCTCCCCGACCCGCCCCCCACCCCCATTGTTGAGCAGACCCTGGCACGAGCTGGAGATGACCGGAGCGACTCGTATGGAGATTCTGAAACATCGACACTCCACCAGCTGAGTAAGTAGCTTTGTTCAGTGAAGGGCAATTCTCACATTAAACCCACTGTCATTTCCAACATCAGTTGTCTCACTCCCAAAACAGATACCTCATTGCACAGAGGTGCAGACACAGAAACATTGGTAAACACCCCAATATACTAACACACACAATACATACACGGAGATAGACACACACACACACACACACACACATAGAGGCACACAGAGACATATACAATCACATGCAAATAGACATAAACACACATAGAAACACACAGGCTGATACATAGATGGACAGCCAAAGACACAAATACACAGACACATAAACACATGGACAAAGAGACACATGCACGCATACAGACACACAGACACAGACACTAGTGTCTTTAAGACAGAAATAGAAACGTTTTCCAGTAATTAGGGGATCAAGAGTTACAGGGGAAGACAGGAGAATGATGTAAGACATTATTGAACAGCATATCAGATCCGATTGGTCAAATGGCCTAATTCTGCCCTATTTTGTGTTTAGGCCAACTAGGGATGGACAATAAATTCTGACCCAGCCAGCGACGCCCACCTCCCACTAATGAATAAAAAAAGAGAACGATGTAATTCAGTACATTGACTATATGACACAGGACAGGAAGAGGCCATTCAAACAGCCTAAGCTGCTGCACAGGAACAGGGAAGCTGTCGCTAACAGGAAACAGAGAGTAGAGTTAAATGTTTATTTTCAGTTTGCAAAGCTGTAAATAGTGGAGTACTGCAGAGATCAACGAGGGGTAATCAATAATCAGTAAGCTGTATCACAGACTTGGATGAAGGGGATTGAATAGATCAAAGCTCAATTGGCTCTTACACCGAGATGGTCATTCAATAAGTCGTCAAATGGAGGTATTGAGCTTGCAATGTGATATAGACTGGGGAGGTTAGTGAGCAAACCTTCAGCAGAAATAACATAACGTCAGTTGTCTATTTTGGCAGGAAGGATAAAACAACAGTAAACAATTTAAATGGAGAGAAAATGTCAGAACTCTGTGATGCAGACTGTTTTTGTGTTCCTGGTACGTAAATCCGTAGATGCAGCAAGTGATTTGGAAGATAAACGGAATGATGCTGTTTCTGGGAAAGGGTATCTTTTCAATTGTAGGAATGTTTTACTGCATCTTTATGGGGAATTGATACACTGTATGCAGTTCTGATCTCCTAAACTAATAAAAAAACATAATTGTTTCAGAAGATTTTCAAAGATTTTTCCCTTTACTCATCCCTGGAATGAAGGCCTTTTATTATGAAAGATTATCTGTTGAGGTCTTAGATGAGAAATCTTATTGAGTGACACACGATTTTGAGAAAAAGTGTAAGACTAAAGGTAGGGAATAAATTTTAAGCTTAAGATGTGTTGATTTTAACACAGATATCATAAAGACATTATAATGTTTAAAATTATTTTTAAAAATTACAAAGACGGATATAAACATCATCAAATTACAAGGAAGGGACATTTTTGCCGATGAAAGACACTGTGTATGACAACAGGAATGATACACCTACGTATAGTCCTTAATCATATATTCCAGAGAATGTTCAAGGAGATCTCACATGGTCCACTTTGGTGTTCAGTTGACATTATTGTATGTTTGAAAGCAGAGAGGAAGAAAAATGTTACCTGCCTGAGAAGCAGCAGGTGATTGCTCCATCTGTCTTACTTTGTTCCTCCAGACAACAAAGTATGAGAGTAGAAAATTGCTGAGTCATCTGCACCACTCTTGGAGGATTCCTGAGGAGGATTCATTGGAATCTCTGCACTGCCTGAAGTAAAAGGAGTTCAGCCAAATCCAACTGGTCCAGGAGGAAATCTCATACCAGCAGCTGCGTGAGCACAATAACTTCAGGGGTGGAATAACATTTGGGACACTATCATTTTTCCATTTGGTATGAGTTCAACTGTTATGAAACTCTGGAAAGCTTTCATTTTTCTGTTTGTCTTAAGAATTGTGTAAATGTGTAAGAGTCTGTATGTCTGTGTGTCTCACATTTTTCTGGAAAATGACCCAGTTTTAGACCTACATCACTGGCCATATCACTCAACAGGTTACATTTAAATTTTGTTATAACCAGTGGAGGAGTGGAACAGTAAAAGGAATCAGTGACCTTCCAACATTGTTAGAAACACGAATGAGAAATTCTCAAAGGTCTGCTCAATGGGAGTACTCTTCCCCAGATGTTTGTGGTACCTGGGTGCTTGCATTTATTCAAAGGTGAGTTTTTTAAACTTTAGCAGACAAGTGAATGAAAGAAAATGGTGTACAGACAGAAAAGTGCTGCTGAGACCACAATCAGATCAGCCACGATCTTAGTGCCTGGTGACGCAGTGACAGAGTGTCCAATCACCCACTCTTGCCCCTTGGTCCTATGTTTCAATGTTCCATTCAGCCCCTCAAACCTCCGGCACAGGAGCAGATGGAAGCCACTTGCTCCAAATACCTGGCCCACAGTTCCTCACAAGTGTCACACATGGTTTGGTGTGGGTTGGAAAGTATTATTGAGAAATCCAGGCTGGGAACGAAAGAGGCCTCTGGTCTCTTTAAAGAGTTGCCCCTCTCTGCAACTTGTGCATCATTTGTTGGTCATGTGGCAGATCCAGATTCGTTGTGAATGTCGGCCCAGACCTCAACCAGAGATGGCTCACAAAATACTTTGCTCTCTCTGTCTACAATGCTCAATAATAGAACCTCCAGGAAAATCACAACCATTAACATTCCATTTACAGAATATGTGAACATTAGAAAAGGCAGGAAGTAATTCGGATAGTCAAGCGTGCCTTGCCACTTGATAATATCATGGCAATCTACTGTTGGCATCAACTCCCCCTTAATGCCAAATTGTTCACATGCCCCAACTCTGTGACAGATCAAAAATCAATCTACCTCCTCTTTAAATACTTTCACTGATCTCGCTCCCCTAACTCTCTACACTAGATAACTCTTGACATTCACCACACTCTGTGAGAAGAATACACTCCCTACACACACACCATGCCCTGTTAACATGAACAAAAGAGGTGAACACAAGTGTTACACAGGAAGAGAAGGAGTCTGGCCAGCACATCGAGCTGTTAAACAGGAATGGGCAGAGCCCAATCAGGCCCTGGAACTTGTTGCATGGTACTAGGCAGAGGTCATTCAGGTCCTCGAGACACTCATACAGGAAAACGAGGATGTCATTGATGCACCAATGAAGCAGAGACTGCACAGATAGACTGCTCCATGATGTCAGTCATGGTTCCATTGCCTGTGGAACATGTGCAACTTTAATGTGGTTTACTGGCAGTGAGGAGGGACGTCAAATGTTTTTTGCCAAGTCTCAAGGAGGCATCTTACATCTCCAAGAAGACAGAGCCTTGTTCTCCATGGAGGTCAGAAGCTGGTGGGAATAGTTAACTGTTTTAGAATGAAAGTATTGTGGCTGTTGCCGGGATTGTGGGTAACATGGCATTCACGGCAGGATTATACACCAACTGCACATTAATGTGGCGAGACTTTATTGAAAGCCTTGACCTCACTCTCTCTCTCTCTCTCTCTCAATCGGCTTGGGGAGTGGGGGTGGGATGGGAGAATCATCCTCAGAGGCAATTAAACTATCCAGAATCATGCATCCTGAGTAAACAAAAAAGTAAGCCATGGAATTTATCACGTTATCGGTGTCTGTTTAGAACATAATGATAGTCCACAACCCTCAAGTTTCAATGCAATCACCTCTTATTTTCTCACAGTGCTACAGATTAATCTTCACTCACTCCTCATGGTACGATCATCCCAGGGATTAGTCCAGTGAAGCTCCTTTGCACTCTCTCTTTGGCAAGGCTATCGTTCCTTATAAAAGAGAGAAAATCTGTCCAAAATTCCCAAAATACTGCTCAATAACACTCCCAGAGTTGATCACAATGGTTCTTTTTCCTTACTTAGTCATCTACTAAACCGACAGCAACAGGAGGACACAGTATGACCTAACCGACTGGCCACACTGCCCTATATCAAGAACATTTTGTAACTAACAACAAGACTCCGAAGACCACTGGGAATCATGGTGGCCCACAAACCCAAAGTCACTCTATGGCAAACTCTTACAAGGATGAAAGACCCCATTCCCACAACGTGCAGAACGAACGTGGTTTATAAAATAACATCCAATGACTGCCACAAACATTACATCGGACAGACAGGAAGGAAATTAGCCATCAGAATATATGAACATCGAGCTAGCAGCAAAACGGCACGATGAACTCTCCTTAATATCTGTACATTCAGACAATGAAGGCCATCAGTTTAAGTGGGACAAAGTAACCATAGTAGCCCATGCCAAATATAGACACACATGGGAATTCGTAGAGGTATGGTTTTCCACCCAAACTTCAATCAACAAACACATAGAGTTGGACCCCAAAGATAAACCCATACAGATTAAAACCAGAAATGACAGCTCTTAACATAATGGACCAGACAGTATAAATTCCAAGCGGAGTCGAATAACACCGTTTCATAGTAGGCTCCACTGATGATGTTACCGAGCATGGTGACGAAAAGTCTGAACAAAAAAAAACCACTTTGGCGAGCAAGTCAACAACCTCAACCACAACCCGAGCTATCGATCTTTGCTAAAACTGAACCATCTGTTTATTTCCTGTGGTGGAAAATCCATTCCTTCTCGATGTACTGCGACTGACATAGAATTGAAAAGTTCCTTGCATCTATATATCAGCTCCAATAAAGCCAGCAACAGAGGTGCCTACGGAGATGAACATCACTCTCATGGAAAGACTCAATGAGAGAGAATGCACTTGAAATAGGGAATTGCCACATACCTGAATGGAAATGAGTTGTAGGAATAGGGAAACAGACAGAGGAAGGGAACTATCTTTACTTTTATTCGTCTTTCATGGGATGTGTGCAGCCCAGGTCAGGCCAGCATGTTATGCCTATTTTGAACTGAGTGGCTTGTTCAGCTGTTCCATAGAACAATAAAGAGTAAAACACATTGCTGTGGGTTTGCAGTCAGACGGAGACCTGACCAGGGAAGGATGACACATTGCCTTCTCTAAAGGACATGAGGCAAGCAGATGGGCTTTCTTTTTAATAACAAAGATGACGGTTTCATTTAAATGTCACCAATTTCCTTCATCAGATATCAACAGATTATTATTCTGTGCCCCTAGATTATGAGTCAATGACTTGAGCGCAATGCACTCTCTTCCTGTTTGACAGATTCTGTGGAGAGAACAAGTTAAACATCTCAGGTCTAATTATTTTGTAACAGAAGCGAAGTTAGAAGGGACTTGAAAGTTGTATTCGGATTTAACAAAGGCACAAATGATGATTTATTCAGAAGTTGCAGTGAAGCTGAGGAGGAGACTGGGATATCATGATGGTGGTAATGGCAAAGATTGGTGAGTGGGGAGGATATGGAGATGTGAATCTGTGCTGAAAAATAAATCATGGAGTTTGAGAACAGTCTGGTTCCTCCTCCCATATTGGTGAGTAACCTTGACATAGTAATCTGCTAGTTATAATGTGTAAGAAACATAATTTTGGATTGGAACTGAAAACATTGACTTCCACCTTTCCAAAATTTGCATACCATGAACCGCAAGTCAGTTCAACCCGGTTTAATAGACAGAGAGACTTACCAGGAACACCAAATATCGCAAGGATGGGATAGTAACCACCTTGAATAACCATCAGTACATCATAAATCCGCAATGCTAATGATATCCAAGGCTGAGAAAGCCAGTAAAGACCCAACGATAAACTCCTGTCCATTGTTGGAACATTCCAGTCTATTGTTCTCAGATTCTGATCTCTCCTTCCCCTCCGTCTGCAGCTGCTGATCCCTGTTAGTGCTGTAGGTGATGCTCCCGCTCATACTATGGGATAACACTTTGAAGGGAGTCCCTTATTCATAGAAGAGGCAAACCCTCCAGTGACACATTTAGGATCCACAGAGACTGACATTAATCACAAACACTGAACAAACAGCTCCAATTAACCCCTTTCGATTCAATAATGGTTTATTCAAATTCAAAATAACGTTTAACTTTTGCACATTTTGGAT